AATTGTATGATATTACCCCAAAACAATTACGTGGACATATATAGGATAGTAGGTTTAATGACTCGGTGAAGCTAAATATTTGTAAATATATATTATAGTTATATTTTAGTCATTTATATCTATATTATATACATAAACACATACATCTTTATATATAAAACCCCAAGAGTCATGTACCCGTATTCCATTAATTTTAATTTATTAGTTTTATAAATATATTTTAAAAATTTTATATTTTTTTGCAAACATAATAAATACATACATTCATTTACAGAAGAAATGTTTACTATATAATAACTAGATTTCATGTTCTTACACATACACTCTTGATCTCCTGTTCAAATTTATATCTTCAATTCGATTTTTCAAAATCCAAAGAGAAGAAAACAACATAAAACAAGAATCAAATCTAAAACTTATAGGCCCAATAAAATGCTGCCACGGCCCAATATATGTCTTTTAAGAGAACCCAATGTACGTTTATGTTTTTGTTTTTTTAAAATAAGAAATGTCCGTGTGTATATATTATGAGATGGGAATTTAACAAACTTCAGGCATATATATATATATATATGAATTATAAATGAATAAAATCATTTAGTACGCACCTTGTTCTTAAGATGATTGATTTCCTGTCTCCGTTGGTTGCGTGTTTGGGCCTCTGAGATTAAAAAGAAAGCAGGCCGAGTGACGATCTATGATCATATCCACAGAGAGAGAGAGAGAGAGAGAGAGAGAGAGAGAGAGAGAGAGAGAGAGAGAGAGATGAGTGCGGGATTTAAAAAAAAATTAAATATGAAAAGACCCTCGAGTTTTCTCCCCCAATGAATTAGTATATATATTTTTCTCGGCATTTCACTATAAATCAAATAAAGAAGGCGTGTTTGGAAGAGGGAACAAGTGGATCCCATATAGGGAAGGGGTGGAGCTTTATACCCAACCAAACAAGCCTCTTCCCATTATTATCCCCTGCACCATGCACGTGCCTCTCACGCTCCACCACTTCCTTATATGTGCGAGATATAAATGGATTGTGATGAATTTTTTTTTGAATAACCAAGTATTTTGTTATCCAATTATTGTTTCAGGCAAATTATTTCAATACCCGAAAAAAGAAGAGAAAATAAATATATATATAAATATATATGTGTGTACATATACTGTATATAACGTCTCGTCCACTTCTTCACATGGTCCCACCTTTCCAGGCTGGAATATTTAATTTCCCATTGTACCTTAGAGCTTATTTTTAATATCGAAGCCGTGTCTAAATTTTTATTTTTGTAAGAAAAAAAAATTCATCTAAAAAATACCATTATTCACCAGGCTGGAATATTTAATTTCCCATTGTACCTTAGAGCTTATTTTTAATATCGAAGCCGTGTCTAAATTTTTATTTTTGTAAGAAAAAAAAATTCATCTAAAAAATACCATTATTCATAAAACATGTAGTCTAAGAGTTTTAGTGAGTTAATTTTTTTTTTTAAAAACCATTATTTTAAAAAATAATTTTACACTATGCATATGTATAAAGATAACCATTTTTTTATCATACCTCATATTTCAAAAAAGTTTTGTTAATATAAGCTTTTGAAAACACCATCCATAAGCGTTAACATGCCATAAAATTATTTAGGTTAGACTAACATTAAAATTTTAAAGATATAAACTATAAATTAAATAATAATAATAATAATAATAACCAGATTCACATCACAAATTGTATCATCTTACCCCAAAAAAAACAAATTTTAAAGATAACAAATAATAATAATAATAATAATAATTGGTTTATCAGAATGGGAACGCACCTTGTTCTTACGATTGGATGACTTGCTGTCTCCGTCGGCTCTCGTCTACCTGGATGATGAGAAAATCGTCAGATTACGACAAGGATCCTATTTTCAGAAACCCTATTTTGTATGTTTAGAACTTGATTTTAATCAATAAATTATTTTAAAATTGAGATTAGGGATCCGTCAAAGAAAGCTAAATCGTTGAGAGCTTCACCTGAGATTGTCGAATATGAGATTCTGACAGAAGAGTATCGAAACTCGGATGAAGAAGAAGTGAGAGAGAGATTGAGTAGGAGATTTTTAAAAAACAAATAAATATGACGTCATAAAATCTAACTAAGCGGCTGAGGAGAAGTACACAGAGACACGAAAGAGAGAGAGACAGAGGCACGAAAGCGGTTTTTCAGAAACCCTATTTTGGTTTTTAATCAATAAAATATTTTTAAATTGGGCTTAATAAGATTAATCGTTACAATGTTTTGTAATGGGCCGAACACTTCTTTTGTAATGGGCCGGTTGTTAAAAAAGAAATAGAAGCCCTCAAGAACACCCAATCGTCCCCTCTAGGAGTCTCAAAATTTTGATATTAACAATTGTTATTTAATTTAAGATAAATTAAAACTCAACATTTTTAATTTTTATAAAATAATAAATTTTATTTAAATATTGGTGAATTAATATATGTATGTATATATATATATTTAATAAATACTTTCAGAAACTAATGCTCCTACCAATGTTATAATTTTTAACCCAAATAATGACATGAAGTACTAATATTGTGCCTATAATAATATTGTATTAAACCATACTGAGTAACCATGTTTTTTGTATTTTAAATTTTTATTTTTATTTTTTGTT